CATTTCCTAGTAACTGAAATTCTCATCATCAGACCATACTCTGCAAGCTTTTCTCTTCTAGTAATAAGATATATAATACAGACATAGGAAGAGGCCCTTGGGGAATATGTCCTATATCAGGAAAAGTAGTTAAGCTCTGGGGTCCAATAGGAGCCTGGGAAAGTCTAATCAGAAACTATGGGGTTAGGATAGATTCTACATTTAAAGCCAGAAGTAGGCCTTGCAAGTTATTAAAGACATTGAGAATTTAAATTTTTGAATTTTTACTTCTGCAAAACTATTCAAGTGTGAAAACACTCTGGGCAGCCAGTATACTGTATTGTATGCCAGCAGGAAAGGCAGTTGGCTGGAAGACAGGTACCAGCTAGCATCTTGCTGTCCACAGTGAATTCCCTTTGCCTCTGTTCAGCATCTAGTTTACACAACCCTATGGAAGTTGGATATCAGCCTTTTTCTAGTCAATGGGGAAGCCCAGCTGGGACTGGATACTGGATTTGTGAGAGGTCATAGCCTCTACCAATCAACATCTAATGGGCTCCAGTCTGTGGATCACCTGGGCCTGTCAAGGCTGGCAGTGAATTCCTAAGGTCAGAGTTTCCACTTTTTCTTCATGTGGGGCAAGATGTGTAATTTCCTCCATCTCTCACCGTTACAAGCAAATGCTCTTTCCACTTCTATCCAGCTGGGAAGAGTGGCATTAAACATGTCACCTTGGTGAAGTGTGGCAGTCACCTTCTTGCTAATGAGCCAGGGTCCCTGGGGACTCCTGTGAAGCACCCAAGCTTCTTAGGTTTTAATAATTTTCAGAAGTAACTCATCTGAAATCTTATTACAAGTAGGTTCTAGGGCAGTTATGGCAGGTCTGCATACATCTGTGGGTAAGCTCCGTACCCCAACATCCCGAGGAGAGGCTTTTCCTGCACCCTACTATCTGCACATAGCTGTTGTTGAGAAACACCCCAACCTTCACCATCTCTGTTATTTTTTTTTTAAGGGCCCAAACTGAAAGCTTACCAGAGCCCAGTGCAAAAACAAGCAAGTTGTGTTGGTAAGATGGAAATGGGCTTTGTCTTTTGTTATTGACTTTAAAAATACAAAAACAAGGTCTCATTCTGTAGCCCAGCCTGGCCTGGCACTGACTGAAATCCTCTTTAAGTGCTGGGATAACAGGCACCAGCCTCCAGGCCTGGCTCCTTGTCTGCATACAGATGATGCACGTGGGCAGGGCCTCATCTGTCACTCTCCTCAACCAGGGTGCTTTAGCTCTTAGTCCTGTACAGGCAAGCGTCCTTAAGGTCACTCCCCATTTCCAAATCAATTTGACTGGGGGGGGGGTTCATAAACAAGAACTTCCCTAGAGGACCAGGTCCGAAGACTGTGCACCATTCCCTCTATCCCCCACCGCAGCAACCCCGCCCCCCAATCAAACTGCCTCTGAAGAAAAACACAGAGCCCTGAGAAGCTGACGTAAACATCCTGAGGAAATAGCTGCTGTAAAGTGGCTTCTCAGTCTCATTTCCCAAAGGAAATAATCAGCACCTCTACCCCCAGACAGCTCCAGGTGAGCCAGTAAGTACGGAATCACCTTTGAGTTCTCAGAAGTACCAACGTCTGCGCGAACTGTCTACCGACTCCAAAGCGCTCTGCCATCTATTGTCACACTTAATGCTCAGAACAATCCAGGAATTGGACAAGGCAGGTAGTAACTTCCACGTTTTAAGGATAAAAGCCGCTCCAGGGCGCCCGCTCCCCTTTTCCGGGTCACCCTTTGGAACGCCCCCAACAGGGTCTCCCCAGCAGGCCAGTCTGCAGCGCGCATATACGGCCTCGGGGTCCTTGACAGCAAGTCATGTCCAGTGGACCTCGGCTAGAGCAGGGAAACCGTACTCTACGACCCGCCAAACAGTCCGCAGCCAGGCGCGGAGAGCTAGGAGCCTCCCGGAACAAAGGAGCGAGCTGCGGACGCGCGCAGGGCTCGAAGGGGCGTCCACCCGGGCGGAGGGGGTAGATGCGCAAAGAGGACCCTACTCCGGCCCGCCCCTCAAAGCCTTTCTTTTCGCTCGTGCTCCGGGGCGGTCGGTGGAGGAGCCGTGAGGGGGCGCAGCTCGCCGTGGCCGCCCGCTGGTCCATTCGCACCCTCGCACAGCAGCCACCCCCATCCTAGAAGCGCACAAAGAGCGGCCGGGCTGGAGCGCACACCTCCTGGCGGGGCGGGGCCAAACCGAGGGCGGGGCCGGGGCGCGCGCCGCTCCTTGCGCGCACTGCGCATGCCTGACTGTGGGGAGGCGAAGGGAGGGGCCGGGCGGGCGCGCGCTGACCCTGTGGTGGCTGCGCGGCGCTCGTGCGCGTGTCGGAGCCCGCCGGGTCTCAGTCCGCGCGCCGGGCGTGTGCAGGACCCGAGTGCAGAGCATTCCAGAGGTCGGCGGAGACAGCGCGAGCGAGGCCCTTGCTAGCCCGCTTCTAGTTTTGGCATCTGCAGTTTCGGGGCTACTTGGGCCAAGTGCTACCAAAGGGCTCAGAAATGCGGGCGCGCGCTCGAGTGGCAAAGTGGGCGGGAGTGTCCTTTGTGTCGCGTGCGCTCCCGCGCAGGTGGGCAGCCCGCGCCCAGCAGTCACTCTGACAGTGGGCCCAGGACCTCGAGCCCCGGTTTCTGTGCTCCTGGGCTCCGGCCGCCCTCTAGGACAGTTATAAGACCCTCCTCCTAGTGGTAGCGTCAGCTCCAGGGATGCTTTATTTGGGGGCAGTAACGGGACTTTGGATGGACCGCTCTTTTGAAGCCCGGCCGCTGGCCTCAGAGTTGGGTGCGTTTCCTGCTCAATCAGCCGAGGGAGGAGTCTTGGGGACAGTGGTTGTCCTCGGCTGATGGATACACACAAGTGTCCCGAGCCTGCCAGTCCCGCATTAGACAACAAAGAGAGGCGTTCGCGGCGGCGGGGGAGGGGCGCGGCCGGGAGGAGGCCGGGGCGGGCTGCGGTGAGCGCGGTGGGGGTGGCGCTGGTTCTCCGCTCACTCAGTCCCGGCCTCCGCCCGCCCCCGGCCTGGCGCGCGCCAATCGCCTCCCCCAGCGATAGTGTCAGTAGCATTGTAGTGTCAGCTCCCGCCGGTGACGTTGCGCCTCCCTTGTCCCCCTCCGGAGCCGTCTGGCTGCAGAGGCTCAGTCAAGAGGCGGGTAGGAGAGGAGGAAAAAGCGCTGAGTGAGGGCGGGC